TGTTTCTGTTAAGCAGAAAATGACTATTTGCTTTGAACCGACCTAATATAGTTAGCAATTAAGGACACTGCTTTGTACATTTCCACAGAGTCTTTGAAAACGAATTACCGCAATCTGGGATTCCTTAATAAAGTCAGTTGTAATTACTCTAATGAACCTAATGTCTAAGTTATAAGCGCTATGATCTAGGTTAAAAGAAAAGAGGGAAGCAGGCCATAGAGAAAGTTTGCTATGTCTTGTAGAAAAGTCGTGTTTACCGACTCCAGCCTAATAGGAAGATGTGCACTATCAGTTCAAAGAACAGGGCAAAACACGGAAACGGCAATTCTTGTAATCGGCCATACGGCATACGCAGCGGAATCCAAGGTTTATATTTTTGTCACCTGTTGAACGTTCTTGCGGACTTTTCAGATGTCAGTTCTGCGTCTACATATAGAAGATATATTACATCTAAGTCAGTTTCCAGCTAGCAGATCGATTCAACCCAAAGGCTGGTCCTTTGGTTTCGGGCCTGCTGTTGTCTTTAAACAGACGCAATCTTTGCTAAATAATGCCTTTGTAATTCCTTTACCTATTTGGAAACATCGCATTTACGACCTTACCTACCACAACCACTCAGCAATTGAGCGTGTATTATGTTTCAGCTTCTCGTCTTGGAAGTTACTCCCTAATCGTGCCCTGCGCGCCATTTTATATTCTTCTAAAAACTTCTAAACTTTTAAAAAAAAATAATTAAATTTAGCTCGAATTAGTTAATATGTTACAATTTTATATATGAAGAAAGTAAAGTTAAAGTATCATTATAGCTCGGTTATTTATTTGATTTAGTAATATATTTTCGAGATAAGTAAACTCCAGAAATATATTTGCTTCATGAATTTACGCAGTCTTCCAACTATTTTACCTAGCTACGCCGAAAAGGTTCGTTCCTAGCCGGCAATGGAGTTATGTTTGTCTTGCTTCGTAGAACGTAAAATGTTTTCTCACTACATTACTCGAGGTGTTCACCGCTTTAATGAGCTTCGTTGTTTTTAACGAGGAATGTTTTTGCCTATAATACGACATAGATATGTTTTTCCTGTCTTATGTCTGCTACTAAAACCGTTAGGTATTGTTTCAAACGGCTGGCTCCCAGCGCGAGCAGACCCGATTTTGAACCCAACCGCTACTTGTCCCCAAATTCAATAAACAAACACGTTACCGATCAGAGACAAGCAAACATGACAAACGGCGATGTAATTCCTTACAATTTACTTGGCCATTAAAGCTACACTTTTTGTTCATTGTGAACAAACAATTGAGAAGTGGGCCGTGTCAGACAACGAGTAGACTGATATATACAGACTCTCATTTGATTACTTATAAACAGAAGTCCCATACCTTATTTTAGAAAAAAGTTAAGGCTTAAACCACGATTAATAATTATAGCTAGTGGAACTGAATCACATAATTAAAAAAAAAAAAAAAAAACTTTTAGAGTAATGATTTTTCATTAACATGACCATTCCTGCCTTACAAGCTAGGCTTTAGGCCTTAAGTTAAGGTACAAAATAGGTCGAACCATCTCCTTTCTATTTAGCAGTCCTTAGTCTTGGAATGTCGTCCATTATTTATGGCTATTACATGCCTCATATATTCTTCGTGCATCTTAACCATCAGGTAGATTAGTTACTAAGATAAATAGGTACGAATCATCTTCGCATTGAGTTGCTTTGTGTTTCGTGTTCCCTTCGTGTGCCAACGAGACCTATGCATGCAGTAATATCGTGACACTTATGACCGCTATAAAAAAAAAAAAAAAAAGCTATTCATTCAAACTCAAAGAGGCATTTTAACAATGGTTTATAATTTATTTATATATTTCTGTAGAACTGCAGCTGTGGGCGAAGCGGGTGGCAGCTAGATTGAACAAGCACCTCCAACAGAAATCGTGGTAAAAATTTTATCCGCATGTAATTTTGATATAAGTAACACCTATTTACCCTGAACGATCTCTTCATCACGATTACTTAAAAACTTTCATTGGACAAATGTGATTGGGTGCGCAAGAGCTGGTCGTCTCTACTGGGATAGTACAATCGCTAAGCAAGGACGCTGAAGAAAACTGGCTCGTCATGGAAACAACGGTCTTTTGTCATCGGACAAGAACTTGCAACAAGCGCGATTCGATACATAGCACGCCTACACGGTCAGCAGTATTAGAAAAGTACCAGTATGACTACTTTTTCCTTAAATATCGGAGATTGTCGGTAATTAAAAGAAAACATAGGAAAAAAAAATAGTCACCAGCAAACTGTTGTCAGCTGTGGTCCTCCATATACCGAATCTTTACCACCTTTTTGAAATCAATATTCCAAAGCAGAAACACTTCCATTCGCGAAAAATATATAGCATATTTCCGCGTTTACGGTGACTTTGGTATGTTTTTGCTCAAGAGTAAAGATTTAAGTAATCGTATTTCGTTGATAGAGGTATGATTCTAAAGGGAACAACTGTGAAAGAAGACGAGAAATAGAAACAACCACGAAAAAATTTTGTTAAATCTAAATGGAGCGATAGGGACAAATTAGGAACCCATGCCCATCTTTCTGTACAAACAATCATTTAGATAAGCTTTAGTTGTAATAGTGCCGTCTTATCGTTTGAAAGGCAATCATTTAGAACAATATTAAGAACTGTAATTTCATCGCCGATGCTCGTCTTACCATTAAGTTCTTGATCTTTTTTTATTTATGTATCATTATGACCCCTATTCAATGTATACTTTTCAACTGAATTGCATTGAGAACCTGGAGTGTGGTTTTAACTATAATCCACTCAACAGCACTTATCTAGATTTTCACATAATTTCTAACTTATTTCTGCGTATTAAGGTGGTTCTCATTTCAGTATCCATAGTCCGCTTCAACACGGCTAGTCAAATACTAAAAAGTGTTAACGCTTATGATATGATTTCATGCACTCGTCTGCCCTTTTACGTCAACGTATCCCTAGAGAGAACACGTTTTGACAAGCGATTTTAAGAGCGTACTGAGCAGCCTATTGTTGCTTCTGTTCGTCTGAACCTGAATGTAGTATAAAAAATACGGTCGAGTACGAAAAAATTTACAAATATGGAAGAAAATATAGCTACGAGATTGCTCTTCGCTATCTCTTCAGTAAAACATATCTCTTTGTAACACGAAGGGCCCTTAGCTAACTAACTCTCGAACGCGCTCCGACCCTTTTTTATAAGTCATGCTTAGTAATGGAATCGATCATGTTATCCTAAAAAGTGTACATGCAATTTTTGTTCAAATATAATTCATATTTAAATAGCAAAATTTCTACATTAAAAGTGCTGATACCAAGCTCAAGACTTTACATAGAGAGAGAGAGAGAGAGAGAGCGAGCAATAATTTTTAAAAATTTCCAAATCAAACCTTATGTTTCCGCAGTTTTTCAGCCTTGTTATAACTGGTGTCGCTCGGGGCATTGTGATCTGGCTGTCACATCTGGGATAAGCTGTTAGAGAACTAAGAAATCTGACAGCGGCTTCTGTCGAGTTACCAAATAGATTGATTGACAGAAAACATAATGACACACAAGCGGTAGCAGAGTGCAGTCATCAAATACACAGTCTATCCGCAAGCGTCTGACAGCCTACATGTATTGAGGGGAAACACCGCTATTTGTCATACAACATAGGGATCTTTTCGGATTTATTTCACGTTCTCTAGACGGTTGATGGCGCCCTCGAGCCTTCCTGTGCCTCTTTTGTACACGTTCTCAGCGGTGATTCTCCTCCACTTCTCTATGCGTTAGCGCAATGCTTGTTTCTCTAACGTTAGGGAACGCTACCAGCATTTTCCTTCGTCGGTTTGCTTCGCACATCGTGTAACCAGCGCTCTATTGATAGCACAGTATCTAGCCTTTTATGGTAGTATGGAAGAACTACGTCGCAATCGATTCGTTCCCAAGATGATGACCAGGTGTCTGCGCTGTTTGTTTCTATCATTACTACTATGAAGTTAGAACTTCACCTACTTGGTGGCTACCAGCAATCCTTATGTGCAATGTTTCTATCGCAAACTATCTATAATAGCTTTACGTTGTTACCGAAGGCTACTGAAATATATAATGAAAAAATGTCGATTTGTATGTGGTTTTGTTGCCGGAGTACGCTGTATCTGTCGCCTGGGGTAGAGCGGCGGGTTCGCTCGTTGAATCTTAGCTAGGAAGGTTCAGTAACTATTTCAGTGTCACAGTAGAGTGTGAAATATACTATCAATCTCAATTCGGATGTTATGTCGGTCTAACGAGCACAGTATTTTCTGACTGGTATTTATACGGCGTCAGCTTATTTATGCCTGGGTATGGTTGTTCTAGTACAGAATATAAAGCGACGTTCTCCCGGTAAATTTTCAGTTTTATGACTGAAATGTCGAAGTAACGTATAATACAAGCAGACATTAAAATAGGCCTTATAATCTCAAAAGATTCTAACTTAGTTCTACGTTATTTTCTAAACTATATTTTGGCCATATTTTTATCTACAACAAAGACATAGGTGTCTGATATCGAATTTTATGATCTTCGGGTAATTCTAAGCTAACTTTTACATATCGGTCAAAGTAAGCATTAGGAAAAGCTGATTCGGTGGCCCTTGTATCAGTTTAGCACACACAGTATATAATACGCTTTGTCTGCCTCGGAAAGAAGAAATTCTTATGTCAGAGCAATATCATACAGGATTGCGTGGTATCGCGTCATTTGTTCTATCATAACTCTTTTCATTTAATGGTAAATTGTTTTACTAAGATAAGAATTTATTAATTCTTATCGACCGAACAATGATGCACTAAATATCTACAGTGTCAACGTTGGAATCAAGAGTAACTCAGCTCTAATCCAATGGGCTGACAACCTATAGGTTTTGTTAGTTATCATTGGGGTTTATTAGGCAGACGTTCATGTAACTGACCCATGTTATTGTCCTAAGCTATTCGAGGAGTACGTATTATACGTGATGGTAGTTTGTTATTCAGGATCACATATTCATTCATAGCATTGCGCCTCCTTTCAACGTATTCTTTTCTCCTCATGAAGCCACTGTAGAATCACTGAACACCTAACAGGCTACAAAAAGTTAGGCAATGTCCCAAAATTTAAAAATTACAACTAGAAAAAGTAGTCTATCTACTTATATTTGCCGACCATTTTCCTGCTAACTACGAAATTCATGTATTAATCATTTCTAACCATCTGTATTGGTAGTAAAGCCGTGTTCTTCTAGCCGAGACGGCACAAACATTTTCCCGTTTCGAACAGTGCAGACTAGACCTCCTATGCTGGCTAGGACTTTGCAGAATATTACAAAAGATTATTATATTTAAAATCTTCTAATGACGTTTGCGGGAAAGCGACGGGCGTCGGGTCGGTATTCCTCATGAATCCTGTAAAAATTCGTTTGCGTTAATCAAACACGACCACAGAGTAAAGACTTGAAGTCAGTTAGAAATCCATTACCACTGAACAGCGTGGTAGATAACGACGTTGACTATATGTCAGTGTTGTGTTACGTAGTTAATTTGTGCGTGGGGTCGACAAACGAGCCGTTTCGTATCAATCTATGCCCAAGGCGACGCGGCTAAAGTTCCATGCTCCCAAATTTGAAGAACATCACAACGGGATAGCTGTAAAGATATGTCTGTATCTAATAACGATCTATTTGGGTAGCTGTGACGCATATTGGAACAGATCTATAGAATAATTACGAGACGTTATCACATTTGAGTAAGTACCGGTAGCGTTTGATGCTAAGGGACCCACAGCTTTAGCTTGAGACGCATCTCTATATGGCATAATGGGCACTAAATATAATTTTACAGACGACTCAGTAAATAGAAGCTCTTGTTAGTGGTAAGTAGGAAGGAATAGGAAATAATTTAAGATAATTTGTATAAGGATCGTTGGCGCTAATAACAAACAATTTAAGGGCACCCTGCTTGATAAGGTTTGATGTAGCTATACCGAGACATATGCGGCCTAATGATACGCCATTATTCTCTCACAATTCCGTTGCAGTATTTGTTGTCGCAGAACGTCAGAATATGGGAACACAAACGCTCTATCAAGACGAGCACAAAAAAGCAATTGTCACGTAACTTAATGAAAGGAGTACCAGGCTACAAACATTTCTCGAAACAGTTTAAGGAGTACACATAATGTAGGCACCAAAGTCACTTATCTTCGATTACACAAAAATCCTTCTGTTTTTCTTCTGCAAGTATTCCATCACTGATAAAGTTACACTCGAAAATAAAAGGATATATATATATATATATATATATATATATATATATATATATATATATATATATATATAACTGCTGAAAGAAGAAGCAATTCGTCGCAGTTTTACTATTGATGAAACGGAAGGTTGGATAGACATCACGTCTATTTGTTGTCGGCCTTGGAGTAGTACATATGTCACAGTCGACGCTAAGAGTAAATAAGCTGAAGTCTACCCAGTTAAAATAGCAACTGTTCATGAAGTCATACGGTATTTACGACAAATATTATCAGATAACAAAAAGTGACTGGGTCAGATAACGGTCCTTAAATCACTAATATCCAATTTATTAGGAAAGCTGCTAAAAAGGCCAGTATAAACACGCCTAAATAAAATACTTGCAGGTACTTATTTTGATTTACCAGCTGAACTCTTAGTAATGCGAATTACAAGTAGAAGAAGAATTAGAAGACCAGAGAAACTAATGTATTGTGGGTACAGATACTACTACTAGGCAATGTATTCGATCAACTGATAATAGTTTATCGAAAGTATAAACGTAAGGGGCGTAAGGTTTGTTGCAGGCCTGAATTAGCAATCAACGAAGAAGGCGCCTTTAAGATCTATGGCCAATGGCCAGAGTGGTGAAGAGACATCTTTCCGAAAATACGAAGATCACCACACCATTTCGCGTGTTCCTTTTAAAAAACCTCAACACTTAAGAACAACGATGAAGTAGAAAATCGGGTAACGGTATCGATCGTTCAACTTTGAGCGGTATTCTTTATAAGTAACTCTAAAAAAAAGACCAGAAGTGGGATTCAACTTGATGGCAATTGAAAATCAACCAAATGTAAGTTTAAGGTACGTTTAAATTAGAGGAAAGAAAAATTTGAACGGGTCAATTCATGCCTGTCGATGTTGTGTCTTAGACCACACGTATGTATATGGGGTGTTTCGTGTAAAATATGTTACAATATCAATTTTATAATAGAAAGATACAGATATATAACTTACATTACAGGCCCGTAGGTAGTACTCATTGAGTACAGGTTCCTGCTTTTATTAGAAGCGGCTGTGGCGCTTCGGTCGCTAAGAACCTGTATATCCTTCTGCGAATCCTTCGCTGATGTTTGACTGCTGTTAAGGAGTTCCTTGGATACCTTCAGCGTTCCGTCCTTTAATAAAGTAAAGACAAATAGCGTTCGTATTTTCCATTCATAACTTCAATGGTTTAACGCATCAAATTGAACTGTTTGAAACGTTAGCTGTACGATTTCGTTAAATTTACACGTTTTCGTTATAGGGCTATTGGTAAAAGTATTAAAGTGTGTTCATTTCTATTAAATGATATATAAATACTCCCCTTTTACCCCTTTATTATTCATTTTTTTTTATATACAAGCACTGTTCCTCTGCTAGCAAGTTGCTCTGCTCTGTCGGTTTCTTTGTGAGCGACATATTACGTAGAATTCAGCCTCCAAAGATGGAGATTCCGAGTGACAAATGTGCGTTTTCGTAGAAGTTTATCATGCATGCACCGTATCTCACTTTTACTAAGGTCAAACAGCTATAATTGTGCCGCACAGAACGAGGACTTTATAATTGAGAGGACCACTGAAAGATGATGTACTGAACATGTAAAGCTCCGTGAACTGAGTAAACATGACAAGGAAGCACGTTCCGATTGCCTGCCAACATACCTCCCGCCATCGAGCAACTCACAACTACAGTAACAAGTACGCTTCTGAATATAAGCTTAGGCTCAAAGTGAAACCAGATCACTAATCCATAAAGACGATGATTTCGCCTTTGGTGGGAGGACAACGAAATCAACAAGGATTTGTATGTAGCCTAGTCGACCTGATTTAGGCCGCACATAGCAAAAATTGAAAGTCGCCGCACTGTAAAAGTTGCAAAAGTGAGAGGTTTTTTTTACCGACCACTGAAAAATGAAATCAGTAATCGTACATTTGATATTAAAGCTGAAAATTTTTAGCAAAAAATAATCATCTAGCTGGCACAAAAGAGGGGCAGTGTAGCGAATACATAGTTCGTCGTTGTAGCTTCACGTAAAGCGCCGCGTGTTTCGTCGGCTGCAAAAAATACTGACGTTAATTACGTTCCAACCTAACATTTACCTGTCGGGGCTTAATCTAACGATAATATAGGTCATACGGTATAGAATAGTCGAAATCAAGATCCATTCGACTATAGATGCTATATCGTTTAGCAGGTATTGGAGTTATTCTAATTTCCTACTAAGTTGGACCACGTCTGCTGTGGTTATGGTAAAAGTAAGGTGAATGTGAACTTACCCTGTCAACTAGTTTAGCTCTCTTTTTGGCCCGTTCCAAAAGGTATTTACGCAACCAACTTTCAGCATCGGTCGTTAGGGAAAACAGAGATAGGCCAAGCCACATTCCGATGTAACCGCCCATATAACCGAATGCTTCGATTAACTGTGCACCATATTGAAATAGTGTCGTTATAATACAGTCTCTTCAATATAGTAACATATCGCTTGTAACTTACAGCGTTTGCCCTTAGCCAGATCGATCATCAGAGCTATTTTTGCAATTCAGACTTTCGCACGGCACCGTTACGTCTGATTTTTAGCGCGATGAACTAGAAAAAGCCATTTTTAGCATATATAACTACGTACGCTGAGTTTAGGTTGATACTGGAATATTTTTTGCGAATCGGACGAAAATTTGACGGAGACAGAAAACGACTGCCGATCTTTTTCCTTTTTGTCCTCACCCAGTGAAGTTAAGCGAACATCATATGTGGTCTCGCTGAAAGAATCGAAATTAACAAGCGTACGTTTCAAAACAAATTTCATAGAAACTAACCCATTGTAGGAATATTGATCGCTGTACAAATAACTTACCCCTTCAAACAACAACATTTATAGTTTTCTTTTCGTAATAAACCGTCATCACTGACCAGTATTTCACAAAAGGCCAAGCTAACAAGTTGTATAATAGAATATAATTTCTGACTTTGATAGACAGGCGTCAAATCCACCAAAATGAGGATTTTCAGCCGGATTGAAGCGGGCTGATCAGGAAGCTTCCGGAGAAGATGGTGCAGAACTATTGAATCGATGAAGTACTAGCTTATTTATGGAAATTTCTTGTCTACTCAATCAGTAGAAGGGTTGTTAAGGGGCGTTTCAGAAAGAGGCGTATCACGGCGCTGGGGCTATTATAGTTTACGTTTAATAGGAAACTACCGAACGCGTTATGCGTTAGGAAATTGTCACAAGACTATTGTTCCAGGTAAATCATTGAAGGGAGTTACTTTCGGCTGGAAAAGAACGCTTAGATTCATTTTTTTTCCCTGTTTACGGTTCTCGTTGAGGTCAGCGAATTTCATGAAAGCCGTACATCTTAAACTTCGTCACAAGTAACCGAAAAATGTAACTCTGAACCCAAATTCGCAAAATATTGCCTTCTTTTTGCTGAACGGAATCAATTCTGTGATAGGACTCCAGATGTTTGAAGAATAATCTTTACGACTGTTTGCAAAAAGTCTAGATGTGGTCGTACTGCGTGTTTATTGGTGCCGCCAACATATCTTCCTGTTGAGGTCGCACGTCCGAGTGGCATTTCGTGCGTGCACTATCGCACCGTCAGCATGGAACGGGATCAAAACTGTGCACGGAGCTGCTTTAGGTCGACTAAATTATTGTACTTACAGACAAGGGGGTCCGCATTTTTCCATACACTTCGGAATCGTATCATTGGCAAGTTGCTTCTCACAAATGACTGCAACGGACCCAAACACAAGATGCGACAAGAACTGATAATTTCTTACGCGGTGGCCAAACTGGCTATAAAACACTAGTGCTTTGCTAACCTAGATTAGATTTTTTCCGATAATAATAATATAGATTTATTTTGTCTATTATTTATGGCTAAGTAAAATATTCTTACCGAGATCTTCGACGCTGCAGGTCTTGTAAGGGACAAATCCGGCAAATTCGTGCGTATTCCGTATACAGCCGCACTGAACGTTTTCGGCCTCCATCACACACTCTTGAATGCACAGCTGAGAGCAGACAGACAAGATCAAAACATTAGACAAGCCCCTTTCTAAAAAGAAGAAGAGGTAGCTCTAAAAAGAAAAGGTAAACTCTTCCTTAAATGGTTTTTCGTTTGCTACGTCCTGTACCCAGGCAACTCACGTCTTGGGTGAGGTATCCAAAAAAGTGCGGACGTTTTCCCAGCGCATTGTAGTCAGTACATTTAGACGCGAACGGCGACGGTAGCCTCTTTACAGTTTGCTGGGCCACCGAAACGGTATAGCTCAGTCCTGGGAATTGTAAAAGGAATAGCAGCTTACCATCCGCTATTAGAGGTCACAATAAAAACGGTCCTAGTAGATGACAGTAGGAATAATTGATATACAGCAGTCTGAATACAAAAACATATCTTCGCTTTTGTTATTTCCTCATTGATTATAATACGTAATAATAGTTTCGCCACTTTTTAGCTTCGATACTTCACGCATGTCGTGCGACTCAAAGCAGTGGAACGCGGAAAAAAGATCTCGTAACAACATCAAACGCACATGGCTTAGAGATAGATTGATTTTGCCGAAATCACCTATTAGAGTAAAGGTCCAACGACAGTTGCATAATGGAACCGACCTGGCTTTATAGCTATAGAGGACAATCGGTCTGGAGGTATTGTCTCGGATCGATGTACTACCAATGGAAGCTTCTGGGTGTTGACTAGTTGGAGTGATTTTTCGGGTAGCCAAGCAGCACGTAATAGTAGTTCTAACAGAAACGGTGGTACGCAGCTAATTAGTACTCGGTTAAATACGCAAACGCTGCGGAAATTCTCGTGAAGTCTAGGTTAGTTCTGTTATTGTTTAGGCAGAATGTCGTGTGGGGTCCCATTGTCCGGAGGTTTACGAACTAAATTTTTATCGCCCATATAAGAAGTGGTGGAAGATGCTCATGTTGGTTCAGTGTGCAATTTTTGCTTAATGAAAAATACTATGATAGTAATGAAAACGTGCTTGGAAAGCGTGACAAGCTTATTCATACTGTGTCATCTTGTTGACATACCCCATGTCCAAGGCATAGTGCATTTCTTAAAGCGATGATCTTCATCTGACCACTGTATAGCATCAACCGTGTAACACTGGGATCCAGGCGGGCGGAAATACGTTGGCCGCATTCTGACAAAGTATCCAAAATGGCGTGGAAGATCAAATTGAATTAATGTCTATAATGAAAGTACTTATTTATGGCATCAAAAACAAACAGATCGCTGAAAAGGGCGCACCGGGTGTTATGCATGTTATATAAGACGAACTTTTCGATCGTGAAAATTGAACGCCGTAGAATTATATTAACTATTGATAAATTATACTTTTTTCTTACGATCTGCAGTTGCCGTGCGTCATATGGCCCATTCTAACTAAATACAGTCATTGCCATAGGTGCTCTTGTGTGATGTGATCATCTGCTTTTGACGACGCGTTCTCATAGAAGAGTGACATATCTAAATAATTCACTCTACTTTTTAGGTAATTTTCTACATATTGTAAATAATGTCGGATTTGCCTTCTTATACAATAACGTAACTTCAAAAAAAGATTTCAACAAGTTTTTATATGGTTTTTATGTGAACTTACATCTCGAGGCAGTTAAATGAAAAACAAGTGGTAACCGTTGAGCGCATTGTACAACGGAAAATATCTTTAACAGTGTACATCGAACGACTTCTCATCTCAGGATCATACTGCATGTAGTAGACGTCCGGAGAGATCTTCTGTGTCTCTGATGTACATCGATCTGGGTAAAACTCACATAATGCAGTGGCGTTTATCCTGCCATAACAAAAAAGTTACCTTTTTTTTTTTATGATATTATTCCATGTCGTTGTTTTCTTTTAGCCCCCAAGGCACTAGCAGCAAAACCTCAGAACGTTTCAGAAAAAAGCTTATACTTTCTACAGTACTCAGACAAATCGTAATCAATCAAATAAAAGTGTCGAGTCCTACTGGCAAACAAACTGGTACGTAATTATTTCAACTATAACATTTTTCGGTGGTGTCTTAATGGTTATGGTTTCTTTTAAGGGTCCTCATATTATTTGACAATGCTGAATAAGTAGAAAAGTGCCGTATTTAACTATTATTAACGTAAATTTACACGAATCAGAAGGATTGCAACCACATATTGGCGACAGCTTTAATAACGTTTATCATTTGGTGTTACTTTCTCTAAACGTAGATCACGTTGCAAAGACTTTCAGCATGATCTTCCCTCATGCCGTTTGGATGATTTTTACCCACATTCTAGGCGTGGTCTAACCTAATGCGCTATGACTTGGGCTTAATGTTGCCGATTACCTACCATGTTTCTAAGCAGATCGTGATACCAGGAAAGAGAATGTTGCTTCGAGCTTCTTCGATAATGGTGACAGTGAAGGGGTAGGTTTGATACATTTCAAGGATTTCTGAAGTTTGATAAAGGAATCCAGCCAGACAACTTAACCACACCAAAATACGGATCACCTTTGATGATTGCACCATATTTGGTGAGATATCTCAGACTCGCTCACAAGCCTCTGCACCAGCTTCGTATGGTACACGCGGATTTTCACTATCTTTTGATCACCTCAAGAAAGTACAACTTTCTATCTTATTCCATCGGAGATTTAAGGAACCTTAGCTACTTAGATTATATCATATTCAATGCAGAGAAGGGTTTGTTGCATCCTGGTAACGTCGCTTTGTTCTAAACAGCTTTTAACAGTTTCCGTAGACAGTCGCACGAACCATGTTCACTAGATCATGTTGCGGTCGCATACAGAGGGAAGCAATTGTACTTTACTAGGCGATAAAGCGTAGGAAACTCAACCCTTGAATAGAGTATCTTTGGTAACTTTTTCGTTTCAGTAAGTGGGTGCCGCCAATGGAGCCCCACGCGACGCTTCGTTCATCTGAAAATAACGTCTGACTGGCGCCGCTGGCCACAACAGGGAGCTTTGTGCTACAGCCTTGGAACGTCCCTCGTCTTAGCCATATGCGTAATCACAATTCGAGACAACACAGCACGGAAAAACATGCATCTGTATGTAAATACGTGACTTCAACCAGTCGGAGGAACTGGTGGTAAGTTACCGATACATATGAAGCGAGTTGCTCAAATACACCACAAGCGAATTTGTGGTTTGGTCAGTTTGGCAGGGCTCGATAAAGGGAATGATTATGGAAGCAATTAATAATTCAACGATGTACAACATCGATGGTCGATAGGCCGTGAACATCTATAATGACAGAAGCTACAGTTGTCAGTGGTGTTGTGCGTATCGATCGATATCAAAAATGTCCAACTCAAACGGATTCCGCCTAATTTTGATCACTCGGACTTTACTCAACTATTTGTGAATCAGTCGGAAACGTAGAAACGTCTGTTGCCACCTGAAAACACGGTGGTTGTATAGACAGGTTGCAGTACGCACGATTCCGACGTCATTGCGCCAAACGTATAGTTCAATTCAAATACAGACGCGGCACTGAGTAAATTGAAAAGGATTACAGATCAACTTTTTTGTCTAGCTATTGTCATTCAATAGACGAAAGTTTACAGTGAAACAATCGCATGAAACCATTGAATAGAAGAGACGTATTACTGTCACCTATACATAGATGCTGCATCTTTACTGCCTGCTAGTTTCTCGGATCAGTCCAGAAATGCTTGCCCTTCTCATGAAAGATCGCCTCGAACCCTTAGTCCAGCTGGAATGGGGAAGCTTTCATGATTGGATGCAGGCCCACCTGTACTGCCATCATTCTAATGCCTTCGTCCATCAGCAGCAAAAGTGACTAAATGACCATTTTGGTACGGAGAGTGTCCTCTCTTTCTTTCTTAGTCTGGCACCCCGTTATGTCGTAACACTGCTATTGTGCTAAGAAACTAGCGAGGTGGGGGTGGCATTTGTGCTGTAGCAGCTGCAGGAGAGACTTGCCCACTGTATCTCAGTTGTCGTCCGGTCCACGTCATTTTCTTCCCTCTGCATCAAATTGACATCAGTAGCTCATCAAGGACGACACTCACAAACAGAAACACAGGCGCAGGCACAAAAGGACATGAACTTCATACACTATCACCTCTCCTTCTTTCCCCTCACGCGCTCTGTCTCCTTTTCTCCACGGACTCACTCACTCACTCACTCACCCACCCACCCATTCACTGTCTCTCGCCCCCTCTCTATGGGTGTCCTGTCTCCCTCAGCAAACATCATTGGTCGGTATTGACTGTCGTGGCTCATGGCTGACTCGGCTTCTGGCCAATGGAACGCACTTTCTCTTCGATGTTTTGCTTCTTATGGCTCACATAAGACGACGCTAAAGGTTAGAGAGTGTTGGATCGTCAGCAAGAACGAGGGATCTGCTGAGTGGGATGGGGTAAAGGAGAGGAAAAGGGCATAATGGGACTGATCGAGTCCGGAGACGACGGGTAACTGGATGGCCCAGATAGTCGCAGCCCTACGTCTATACTTTGGGTCAAACAAGATGGGTCCTAAGAGTCTTCAGTTATGGGTTGCACAACCGGTTTGGTACCATACGAGAAGCAATGACATAAAGGCATCGAGTTGCGGGGGAGGATGGGTCGAAAGTCTAATGCAGTGGACTTCGTGGGAAGGAAACAATTTCCTAGACTCTGGCTAATGTTTAAATTTTGATGGGGTCTGTCAGGCCGTTAAAGAAAAATAGTGAAATTTCTTCTCAAGAAGTGTTCCACCTACAGCTAGTTGTCCAGAAAGATATGCTTACTTACATATATCCTTAATTTTTTACGCATTGTGAGAATACGTCTAATATTTAAATTTATATTAGTATAGGCCAGCAGAGGTCGTTTAAGCGATCGCGTCTTTCGTTCGCTCGCTCGCTAGCGCAGCGAGCTGATTTCTATCGGTGTATTTGGCATTCTTTTTCAGTTGCGAAAGCTCGATGCGATGAACATATGACGATGAAGCCGCTGAACGAGAACGCGGCTGCCCGTTCGACCGATGGAAAGTGTACACACGAAGGGAGAATGATTTCAAAGATGTGAAAATAAAATGTAGAAACAAATGAAAAATTGCAAATAGAGAACCGGAAAAAAAAAAAAACAATCGTTGTTCCGAAATCTGAGATACCGGGCTGCTAGACGACACAGCTGTCGTATTGAACGAGGGCGAACTCTCTGCTTCAGGATGTTGCCATCATGCAAGCTAGTAAGCAGCCAGCCACGTTCCTCGATCTGATAAAAGTACTTCATTACTATTTGGAACAAAGTCATAGGCAGCTGTCTCAAGAAGCTACTGTACTCGTACGTGAATAAGACCGTTTTCGCTCGACCAATTTGTTTTTTACGATATGACAATTTTCGAGGGGCAAAAAATAACTGAGTGAATGTCTAAGAGGAGATCAAGCGTAGCGTCGCTAAAACAGTTGTTACCACCGACCAACACTAGATCGCTGTGGGTACACATTGTCTTAGTAACAACCCCACTCAATCACATACGATGACACCCAAGTTCACCTCTAATCGTCAATTTTGATAGCATATTAGACTCGGGAGAGCTATTTTGGACGTTTAAAAATGACACTGATCCATTTGAAAATGATGTCCAGGATTTGAGCCTTGAAACGTAAGCAAAGGCAAATTATTTTGAAGGGTGCGATGGCTATTGTGGATAAGGTCAGTAGAAAAGGCCATCGAAGTCCGGCAGCGACTGCGAATAGAAAGGCGGACAAACTAAGGAGTTCGACTGTGTGGGCTCAGGCACTAGGGATCAAGCATTCCTGATAAGGAGTGCTACTGATTACGTCATCTTATAAGAGACCGTTGCACGATCCGAGAAGATCGGATTTTTCAATTTCGGAAAAACAAGACGCGTGGGACATCTTTAATTGCCCAAAGTTAACGTTAAAGCTAAAAAAAAAACAGCGTCAAAATACGAGTTGAAATTCGTTTGAGCGTTGTGTGAGTTAAGTAATGTTCATCGCTGATCTTCTCTAAATCAACGCCACCGTCGAAATGATCCGGTGGCGATACGGCTATCCCGTACCCCTAAAAAATGAAAAGCAGTTTCTCGCTTAGCTGAATATCCACTGCAACAGCTAAACTAAGTGAAATGAGTGATATGCCATACATTTGGTAGACGCTTGCACGTATATACGCCTCGCGTGCTCTTCTCATCACTCCGCTCCACCTGGATTTACGTAGAAAAACTCTGCATAGTAATAACAGCTTTTCTTTGTATCGATCAACCATTTATTAGCAACGAGGTGTTATCCTCGCTCCGGGAATAAGCCGGCACCCTCGCCCATAGATAGATCCTTCTTTTCGAGTATGCATGTACTTCGACGTATCCATAGGATAAGTACTATGTATATGGAACCTCATTTCGGTACCATGTAAAATACTTGTGCTAGGAGATAAAACATATTATTGGAATAATGGAGAAATGATTTTTTATAGGCAGAAAGGGCGATTGCCTATGTTTACGGCAGGTCTGCAACATAACCTATAATAGAAATTACTTTGTGCGAAGTTCCTGGAACGAAAGTTGGCCGTATGCACTTATACTTTCTATATTTTTCTATTTCTTTAGTTCACTTATTGTCGCCTTCATAATATATATATATATATATATATATACTATCAATAATTTATAGACGATGTGGTTTTCTAATATTGCATTACTTCGATTATAAAATATGGGAATATCAACTTATTTTAACTGCATCATATGCTATTTCTTAATAATAATTGCTTTGTAAGGAAAAGTTAACTG